CCCCAGTATCTCAGCAGCTTCTGGAAGACCCAGTACCTCCTGCTGCGCATGGACGGGCCCCTGCCCTACCACAAGCGCCACTACATTGCCATCATGGTGAGGACCAGGGTCCCACGGGGTTACGTGTGGTCCCAGCACCTCCGCTGGGTTTTTGTCTGGAGGCAGGAGGGGTTTGGGGATCCCAGAGACGGGTCCCTCCCCCGCTCTGATCTGTGGTCCCAGAGGCTTGGAAGCCCCTTTAGGATTGGTCCTGTGGTGCCCACCCAGGGTACCCCAGCACCCCTCCCTCCAGGGCCCATGGGGACTGGCATCGATGGGGGTGGGGGGTGGAGACCCCTTTCTGGACTCTCATCCCCAGGGAAGACCCTCCAAGAGCAATGAGGGTGGAGGGTGGCTCCCTGCCTTGGCTTCTCCAAGGGCTTGTAGAGGGTTGAGGGGGCCCCTAGCTGACTGCCCGGCTCTCCCCACAGGCAGCAGCCCGGCACCAGTGCTCCTACCTGGTGGGCTTGCACATGGGGGAGTTCCTGCAGGTGGGGGGCAACCCGGCGTGGCTGCAGGGGCTGCACTGTGCCCCCCAAAAACTCAGGAACCTCAACGAGATCAACAAACTGCTGGCGCACCGGCCCTGGCTCATCACCAAGGAGCACATCGAGGTGAGAGCTGATACTGCTGGGGCAAATCCATCCCACACCCCCCCCCCCCCAACACAACACACTCTGATTTTTGGGGCCTTGACCCTGGGGCCTCATCCCTGCTTGCACAAGCCCCCTCGGGTTTAACCCTTTCAGGGTTGAGGGAGTCTCTGGGCTGGAGGGCAGGGTGTGTGCTGCTCCGGATGGGTGAGCAAGGGGTGACTTGTCCCCCGTGGCTGGGGACTGTCCTGCCAACAGCAGCTCGTCTATGGGGGAGGCACATCCCAAACACCCTCCTGTCTCCCTGCCGTTGTCTTACCCCGGCTCTGGGGTGCAGTGGGGCGTACAGCACAGCAAGCCGGGGGGGGTTAGGGGAGGGGATCTCTCCAACCCTGCGCGCTTTGCAGGCTCTGCTGAAGACGGGGGAGAACAGTTGGTCGCTGGCGGAGCTGGTGCAGGCCCTGGTGCTCCTCACCCACTACCACTCGCTCGCCTCCTTCGTCTTCGGCTGCGGCATCAACCCCGAGGAGGACCAGGATGGGGGGCAGAGCTGCCAGCCCCCCTCGCCCCACAGCGACAGCAGCCCTGCCTCTGACGACAGCATGGGGGGCTCCGGGGTAAGCGGGGGGCTTTGCCTTGCAAGGGGAAGGCGTGTGGGGTTGGAAGGGAGGGCATGGTGGGGTGCTGGACTGCTTTATTGGGCTTCCCCCTGGGAATTACCTCCCGAGACTTTTACTGGGGACAGCAGATAGTTTAGGGCTGCGCCGTAGCATCCTCCACGCCGTAGCATCCTCCGCAGGGCTTCCCCCTCCACCTAGTCCCTGGCACGAGGCGTGGGAGCAACTCGGGGGGGCAGGGGGGGAGAGTCTGGGCAGGACAAACCCAGAGGCGAATGTTCTTTAGAGCAGCCCTGGGGCTGCTCCCAAGTGACAGCAGAGCTGAGAACTACTCAGGCTCTGCACTACTCTGGGCTTGCAACCCCCCCTGCAACTTGGCTCAGCCTGGGGCAGGGTTGACTCTGCCCTCTGCTTCACCAGGGCAAAGACGCCATGCGGGAGGTGGAGGTGCTGATGGAGAGGCTGAAGCTGCTGCAGGAAAACCAGCTGGAGGAGGAGGGCGTCACGCAGGAGGAGATGGCAACGCGCTTTGAGCTGGAGAAGACGGAGAGTTTGCTGGTCGCTCCCTCGGGTGAGGAGGTGCAGGGGTGCAGCTGGCTGGGGACGGGGTCCCTGTGGGCCAGGGGGGTCGCGGGGGGAAGGGGGAGGAGGGAAGGGAGGCAGCATCTGCCCAGGGCACATCAGGATCAGGCCCCCAGCTGCAGGGCTGGCGCTGGCCGGGGTCACGCCGTGTCCCTCACAGCCGCTGCGGTGGTGCCTTGTGTAGATATCGCGGATCACTCCCTGCAGTCCAACGTCCTCTGCTTCGTGGAGGACCCCGAGTTCGGCTACAAGGACTTCACGCGGAGGGGCGAGCAGGCGCCCCCCACTTTCCGTGCCCAGGTGGGTGCTCGCGGCCCTGCGCCGGCCGTGGGGTGCTGGGTGGCGGGGTCCTGGGTGTCTTGGTGTGGGGACAGCGGGGCTCTTTCCAGGGTTTTGGCACCGCACAGACAGCGTGAAGGGCCGGGACCGGGCTGGAGCTGTTTGAGCAGTGCAACTGGTTGTAGGGGTCAGCTAAAGGGAGGGACACCCCAGCTTATATCCCTGGCTTTGAAGGGACCCCACGTTTCCCTGCCCCAGCATCCTTTCTCTGGCAGGATTACACCTGGGAGGACCACGGCTACTCGCTGATCAACCGCCTCTACCCTGACGTGGGGCAGCTCCTGGACGAGAAGTTCCAGGTCGTTTACAACCTGACGTACAACACCATCGCCATGCACTGCGGCGTGGACACGTCCATGCTGCGCAGGGCCATCTGGAACTACGTCCACTGTGTCTTTGGCATCCGGTAAGTCCCCACGCCGTGGCTGGAGCCTGTTCTCTGCCCGGGGTAGAGTCCCTGAGCGGATCCAGCCTGGGATCCCTCAACTTGGTCTTGGTGAGACTTGCTATTGCTTAGATTAAGGCAAAGCGATGCTTTTGGGGGGGGGGGGGGGGGGGGGGGGCAGGGCTTGGCTTAAGTCTAGAAAGACCCCGGGGTGTGCGAATGGGCAGGGGGTGTGCCCGGGGATGACGTGCCCTCCTCTCTCCCCCAGCTACGACGACTACGACTACGGGGAGGTGAACCAGCTCCTGGAGCGCAGCTTGAAGATCTACATCAAGACGGTGGCTTGCTACCCGGAGAAGACGACCAAGCGGGTGTACACGCAGTTCTGGAGACACTTCAAGCACTCGGAGAAGGTGCTGCCCCATCCCTTCCCCCCCCGGCAGCGTGTTGGGGGGATGCTGAGCCCCCTCCCATGCCCTGACCCCGCTCTCCCTATGTAGGTGCACATCAACCTGCTCTTGCTGGAGGCTCGGATGCAGGCGGCTCTGCTCTACGCCCTGAGAGCCGTCACCCGCTACATGACCTGACCAGCCTCTGCTCCTTCCTCCTCCTCCTCCCCCAGGTTTGGGGGAAAGGCTGGGGGGAGCTGGTACCCTAAAGACTTTGCTGGAATATTGTCTCCCCTTTTAAGGGGCCTGGAGCTGTGGAAGGAAAAGGGGGGACATCCCTGTCCCTCATCCCAGGAGTGGGGACCCCAAAGAAGCCGTCAGTGCTGGGGACACCCCAGAGTGCTGCCCCGGGCTTGGCAGAGCTGGGGGTGCTCATCTGCTCCCTGCTGTTCTCGGGGAGAGCCTGAATGAAGCCAAACCGGGGTGCCTGTGGGTGCTGCCTTCACCGTGCAGTGCTGGTGCTACACCTCTGCGCCACGTCCCGGCACCGAGACTGCCGCCGCGGAGGACCGTCCTCGTGCCAGAGATCACCAGAGGGTATCGTGGGCTTTGCCCCTGCTCCTTGGGGTCTTGTCCTGCTGGAAGACGTGCAGCTGCTGGTGTGGGGATGCTGCCCCTGCCCAGCTCTTCGGCTTGCACCCAAGGAAAGCACCGCAGGGGTGGTGGGAAGGATCCAGGCAGCCCCCGGTGCCACTCGCCTTCGAGCTGAGTCCCCCCACGTCTGGGTCCGAAGGGCTGGGGGGGAGGAGAAGCTGCAGCCTGTTCCTGCCCTGGCCTGGGTGTTTCTGCTGCCTTTAGTGCCTGCTGTGACACAGGGATGTCCCCTCCTTGGCTGGGGGTGTGCGCAGCCCCTCGCCGCTCCTCCCCAGGGACCCCGGCGTGGCCAGACCCCCAGCCCAGCCCGCAGACGGGGGCTGCAGGAGGGGTTGAGCTTCGCCCCATCCCGCCCACCCAAACCCCCTGCGATTTGGGATGTGAAGTGCCTCTTCACCTGGGTCCCCCGGGCAGGAGCAGCACGAGGGGCAGAGTGCCTGCGGTGTGTTTTTTACGCCTTTTTTTTTTACATTGTTTTTCAGCCACTGCCACATCTCTGCTGCTTCAACCTTCATGGCTGAGGCGGGGAGCTGTGCGGGGGCACGGGGCTGCCCACCGGCCTGCGCTGGGGGTGACGGGGTGGGACGGGGGGTGCCCATGGCTTTGCCAAGATGTGCCAGAGCATTTCCCAGCGGTGCAGGTCGCCGGGGAGGTGTCTGTTCGGGGGAGCCCCCACTCCCAGCTCTGCTGGAGCCTGGGTCCGGGTCCAGCAGCATCGCCTGCCCCTCAGCCACTCTTGGTTTGTCTCTGCTGAACCTCAGCTCGAGTTAAGTTATTTCTATATTTGTTGGGTGTATTTACTCCTGACTGGGCATGGGAATGCCACTGTGACTTTGCTACAGAACTTGTTTGAAAAAATAAAATTTTGGGGGTTTGTTTTGTTTTGGTTTGGTTTTTACTCCTTTTTTTCTTTTTCCAAATGCCTCTGAAGGGCAGTGCCACCAAGAAAGAGGGTGAGATGCAGTTTCCCTTTCCCCTTGCCCAGCCCCAGGGGCTGATCCTGCATAATGCAGTGGGGAGTACAAGGGGGGTTAATGGGGAGCCTGTGCACTCCCCCTTTGCCTGAGGTGGGTGGGCTTGGCTCCAGTGCCCCCTCCTTGCAGCAGCCCCTTCCCAACCTCTCCTGGGGGTAGTGCCCTCCTGGAAAGCCAGGATTTGGAGCACTGACACTCCTCCCAGTGTGGGTGTCCTGTGGGATGTCCTGCTGCTGGGATGGAGCGGAGTGGGCTGCAGTGGAGCTGGGGGGGGGGGGGGGGTGAAGCAGCACCGGGGGGGGGCACACCAGCCCTGTGATGTGGAGCCCAGCACTTATCAGGGTGCAGGCAGCAGCCCCTGGCAGCTGCCGATAAGATCCCTGAGGAGGGCCCGGCCCCTGTCCCTGCAGAGCGAGGTGCATCCCTGTGCCCGAGCAGAGCAAGGAGCCTGATCCTGGCTCTGGGGCTGTCCGGACCCTCCAGCCCTGGGGAGGACCCTCTGTGCTGCCCCTCGGAGCAGGGATGTGGGGCTGGGGGCAGCGAGGCTGGCTGGGGCTCGAGCACCACCGGCACAGTAAGGGTTTGCTGGGGGTTTATAGGGCAGAGCCTCTATTTGCACCCCGCACGGGGAAAAAGTGCTCTTGGGGCAGCTTAAGGGCTCTGGGGAAACTGAGGCAGGAGGGTGGGTCTCTTTTGGCTTTGCTGGTTGTGCCAAAGTCCCTGGGCTGGAGTCCCCATCCGGGTCCCCTTCGCACAGCCGGTGACGGCAGGAGGGTTTAGCAAACGCCTCGCAGAGGAGAGCTGCAAACCGCACGGAAGGGTTAGCTTAATGCATACGAGACACCGGAGAACCCCCGGGGGTGGGGGGGCCCTGCCTGTACCCGCAAGCCCTCAGCCGGGGGTGAGCAGTTTTCCCGCGCTGAGCCACAACCTCCAAATATTTCCCAGTGTGTTTTCCCAGCCCTGGCCGAGGCGGCTGAGCCACCGACGGTGCCTTTGGGCTGCGGAGAAAAATGCAGAGCCCCCCCCCCCACCCCTCTGTCCCCCCCCCACGTGCTGTACTTCCAGGGTGTCACCCCGTAATGCCCAGCCAGCGAGGGGACACCACCGTGAAGAGGTCTATGGGTGCTTGGGGACCCCCAGGGTCCCTCAGGCAGCCCCCAGCCCCTGACAGGATGACAACCCCCTGCCCCAGGGGGTTTATTCCCCAAATGTCTCAGGAATAGCAACCAATGACCTTATTTTTCGAGTCTAGCATAGTTTTAGGGAGGGAGCTTTGAGCTTTTTAATGCTGGTGGCTTTTCTATATGGGGGGGGGGGGGGGTGCGTCTGCCTGTAGGGTCTCAGGGACCTGGCATGGCTGGAGGTCCCAGTGGGATAGCACTGGCGGTTCAGCTGCAGAGGGGAAAAAATTTTGTTTGTGTGTTGTTTTTTCAAAAGAAGTGAGAAAATGTCATCTTTTAGAGACAGCTCAATGACAATCATTAGAAAAGGGTCAAGTCAGAAGCGAGATTCTGTCCGAAAAGGAGTTTTTTTTCCTGCTGCCTTCCGGCTCTCTTTGAGGCATCCAAAATATTTTGTTCAAGTGGAAGAAATCCTCCCAGTAAAGGCACTGTTTCTGATCACAAAGACATGGGGAGGTGCTGAATCTTTGGGGAAAAAACCAAACCAACAAACAAAAAACCACCCCAAAGCCTAACCTTCTTTGCTGAAGTTTCACCCCAGCACGTCTGACAAAATCAGCACCAGCATCCTGTGAGGTCGCCGCGCTGCGTCCCCACCCCGTCTCGCTTTTCCCAGCATTATCAAAGAACTGGGATGAGACTTGAGTCCAGCCGGGTCCAGGGGTACCCAGGGAGCAGCAATTCCACCCCAGCACCCAACCTCCAGCCCTGCAAGCTCAGGCCGGGCTCCTGGTTAAACCCCAGCGCCCGGGTGATGCCTCAGCAATTGCAAACCTGTCAGGGATGGCGACGACGTGAGGGTTTGTCCCAGACAGGGCTCCAAGCAGCCGGCTGGAGCTGGGCACATTGCTCACCTGCAAGGTGGTGGTTTGGCTTGGGGAGCAGAAGGCACGAGCTCAGGTCATCTCCTCCAGTGCTTCAAAATATATATATGCACGCGCATTTTTTAATTTTTATATATGTATAAAAATATCTAATATATATTAAAATTATAAAATAATATAAATAACATAAGCAGCACAATATTATATAAAAATATAATATATAAAAATATTATATATCTATATATATCAAAAATGCCCATGGCACTGCCCACCCCATAGCAAGGCAGGGACAGTATCTTTTTGCGTTACTTTCTATTGTTTCTGCCTGTCCCCTGCTGTGTTTGCAAGAACACGTGCAGTGACCCGGTCTGGGTGGGATGGCTGCTCCCTGCCCCTCGTCCGCCCCATCTTTGCAGCTCCTCTGCCCCTCTCCTCCAGCGAGACCCTATTTTGGCTGCGTGTGGGTGGGTGTTACGGCCTCACGTTAAAGCAGAGAGCCAAGGGTGCTCGTGGAGCCCACGGGCCGCCCAGCACCCAGCAGCTCCCCCCTCCCCAGGGTGCAGCCCGGGAGGGAGCTGGTGCCTGGAGCCAGGGAGCTGCAAAGCAGGAAGGCTCTTGCAAGTGTTCTTTTTAATCCCTTTTTTCCCCCCTGCTACAGTCTTGCAAAGCTTGGCCTCAGCACCAAGTCCTGGGTTGGGCTTCAAATTTTCCTGCCCGGTTGCCTGAGGTTTATTTTAAATCCACAGAGGATTTACCATGGGCACCCAGCGTTTCCTGTGCTTCTCCCAACAGGTGGCTGCCAGCAGCAAGGACACCCAGGAAGGACTGGTCCCTTGCTTTATTTTTCTCCCCATATTTCTGCTACAGCATCAGATAACTCAGGGGTGAGTGGGTGCCATTTAACCTGGGTCATTGTACCAATTTAACTCCCTTCTTTTTTTTCAGGTGGTCACAATTATAAACCAATAAATTCCTCACTCTGTGTTTAACCAAAGCCTGCAATTTGTATGCATATATATGATTTATTGGCAGCTTTCACTGTCTGTCTTGCATGGCAGAAGGAGTGTTAATAATCTCCCTACCTGTAGCTGATAGTTATGATTCCAGTGTCTGCAATTTTTTTGCACTACAATTGCCCTCAATTTAAAAACATATCATGTTAGCGGTGCTTAACATGCAGCAATGCGATGGGAAAATAATAATAATAATCGTGGGCTGTGCTGAATGAGCACTTTAAGAATGACGGAGTCCAAAGTGCTTTGCAAAATGAGTATTCCTGGGGCTGAGCTGCCCTCGCCAGCCCGTGATGTGGGGAGGGTACAGCAGCATCGTGCCGTGCCGAGGGTCGTCCCTCGCCGAGCCCGGTGCCCGGCCGAGCTGTGGAGGGATTTGAGCTGCCGGGGACGTCCCTACCCTGGAAGTTGGCCAGGATGGGGATGAGGAGGAATATCCATGCCCTGAGCGTTGGCAGCTCGTTGCCCTGCGGCTGTGAGCCGACGTCTGGACCCGCTGCAAGGGTTGGAAATGGGTAAATTCAGGCTGGAAAGAAAGCAGCTCTTCAAGGGTGAGGTGGCGGTGGAGGTTCAGCCCAAGTGCGCGGTGGTGGGTGCAGGTCTCTGCCCAGCGCCCATGTCCACCATCCCCAGTGTCTCCCGTGGGATCACACATTTCCCAGCCGTGAGCAGCTGCCTCGGCAAAGCCACAGCCGTGGTCACCCCAGGCCCCACAGCCCCACTGCTCCCAATCCCTCCCTGTCCCTTTCCAGCAGTGGAGCCCCGGCACTCAGGGACCCCAGTGAGGGTTTTGAGGGGTGGTGGGTGGGAGGGAAGAGACCAGCCCCAGGTCGCTGCCTTAGCTCATGGGAACAGAATGTGTCCTGCCCACGGAGCCCAAAATACCCCCTGGCACCCTCTGTGCCCGGCGCCAGCCCCGTTTCCTCGCGTAACCCCCACCGTGCCCACCCCCACCGGCCGTGCCACCGGGTCACCGCTGTGGGACAGACACCGTCATCCGGGTGCACACGTGGCGTTGCAGTTTCAGGATGCCAAGCACCTGCTTTTGCAGCCAAGTTTTATCCAGACGTGCAGCTTTGCACCCTGCCAGCGCCCAGCTCTGCACTGAGATGGGCACTTTTGGGGTTCTGGAGCATCAGGAGCCATCCCACCAGTGGCTGGGAGCCCCAGTCCCTCCACAAGCCCCTCCAAAATCAGCTTGATCCTTGCAGGCACAGAGGGAAAGCTCAGCAGGGTGGGGGGTGGAAAAGCACCCAGCCCTCTGCTCCTTTGCAGCAGGTAATAAGCTGTTTTCTTTGGATTTAAGAGTGACAATTTGGCTGTCGCCGGGAAGCCAGCTTGCTGTCCTCGCTGGGGACAAACTGGGTTTATCCCAGGGGAACTGCAGGCTCTGGGCACCGTGGGCTGTAAATCCCAGCTGGCTGCTGGAAGGTTTTAGTCCTTGAAAAGCAGTAATTCATGATGTGGCCCCGAGCTGCTGTCACCTCCCTCGCCCGGGCTCTGGGGTGCCATCCTGCACCCCCAGCTGGGCGCCCTCCTGGGGACGAAGCACCACGATGGGTGCAAAGATGTGCCCATCACAGAGGGGGACAAATCAGCGACCCAGGCACCGCTGCTGCTCAGCCTTCAGCCCTCCATTGCTTTGCCTGGCATCAGATTTTCAGCCCAGACGAGCCCCGGCTGAGCGGCGGTTCCCAGCCCCGGCGGGGGGAGCCGGAACGGGGGTCGGGGGGGCCGGGAGCAGGGGGAGCCGGGGCTAAGGGGAACCGGGACTGGGGGGGTCGGGGCTGGGGGAACCGGGACTGGGGGGGTCGGGGCTGGGGGAACCGGGACTGGGGGGATCGGGGCTCGCTGTTGCCGCCGCTCCCGCTTGCCTGGGTCGGCAGCGCCGCTCACTGGGAGCCGGCAGCAGCGCTGCGAACGAACCAGCCCCGCTGCGAACCAGCCCCGCTGCAAACCAGCCCTGCTGCATCCCTGCCCTGCATCCCTGCTGCAAACCTGCCCTGCATCCCTGCCCTGCATCCCTGCTGCAAACCAGCCCTGCGTCCCTGCTGCAAACCTGCCCTGCATCCCTGCTGCAAACCTGCCCTGCTGAAAACCAGCCCTGCATCCCTGCTGCAAACCTGCCCTGCATCCCTGCCCTGCATCCCTGCTGCAAACCTGCCCTGCATCCCTGCTGCAAACCTGCCCTGCATCCCTGCTGCAAACCAGCCCTGCATCCCTGCTGCAAACCTGCCCTGCATCCCTGCCCTGCATCCCTGCTGCAAACCTGCCCTGCTGCAAACCAGCCCTGCATCCCTGCTGCAAACCTGCCCTGCATCCCTGCTGCAAACCAGCCCTGCATCCCTGCTGCAAACCTGCCCTGCATCCCTGCTGCAAACCAGCCCTGCATCCCTGCTGCAAACCTGCCCTGCTGCAAACCAGCCCTGCTGCAAACCTGCCCTGCATCCCTGCTGCAAACCAGCCCTGCTGCAAACCTGCCCTGCATTCCTGCTGCAAACCAGCCCTGCTGCAAACCTGCCCTGCATCCCTGCTGCAAACCTGCCCTGCATCCCTGCTGCAAACCAGCCCTGCATCCCTGCTGCAAACCTGCCCTGCTGCAAACCAGCCCTGCTGCAAACCTGCCCTGCATCCCTGCTGCAAACCAGCCCTGCTGCAAACCTGCCCTGCATCCCTGCTGCAAACCTGCCCTGCTGCAAACCTGTCCTGCATCCCTGCTGCAAACCTGCCCTGCATCCCTGCTGCAAACCTGCCCTGCTGCAAACCTGCCCTGCATCCCTGCTGCAAATCAGCCCTGCATCCCTGCTGCAAACCTACCCTGCATGCCTGCTGCAAACCTGCCCTGCTGCAAATCTGCCCTGCATCCCTGCTGCAAACCTGCCCTGCATTCCTGCTGCAAACCTGCCCTGCTGCAAACCTGCCCTGCATCCCTGCTGCAAACCAGTCCTGCTGCAAACCTGCCCTGCTGCAAACCTTCCAGCTGCAAACCAGCCCCATCTCAAACCTTCCACACTTCAAGCCTCCCCACTTCAAACCTGCCCTGCAGCCCTTCTGAAAACCTCCCGGCTAAAAACCTTCCCCACATCCCCATTGCAGACCTGCCCCACTGCAAACCTTCCCTGCTGCAAACCTTCCCCACAGCCCCGCTGCCGGCCCTGCTGTCAACCCACCCATGTCCCTGCCACCAATGCCCCTGCAAACTGTCCCCATGTCCCTGCTGCCAGCCCCACTGCCAACCCTGCCAATGTTGCTGCCAGCTCCGCTGGGAAAGGCCACCCTCATCCCAGTTTCTTGCTGGAAGGGGACAAGGACCCACCCCAGGAAACAGAAAACACAACTTGCATTCTTCCCTCTCCCACGCGGGATTTGGACCATCCTTGTCCCTCCGGGGAGATCTGCCAGTGCTGGCTGCCCACCCTCGGGGCAGTTTGAGCCTCAGACCCCGTCCCCAGCACTCTCCCTGCGCTGCCCATGCTGCAGCCACTGCACAAAGCAGGGAGCAGAGCCAGGATGGTGACAGGGACCCGATCCTGCCCCTGCCAGCGGTGCTACGCACCCGGCAGAGCCCAGGCTCTGCCCGCAGCCTGCCTGGCTGGCCGTGGAGGGACGTGTCCCATCTTCCTCCCTTCCCACTGGGCACAGGGGTTGGGGAGCTCCGCGTGGCCTCCAAGGGCTGAAAGCTGAATGCATGGAATGATGCTCTCATCTAAAAACGCCTGGGAGGAGAGGGAGGGCTGGAAAGCAAAGGTGCTGGGCTCTGGCTTCTCTGTTCCCTGCAGGGGCCAGTTGCCTTCGAGCAAGCTCTGCAGCACACAGCGTGTTACAGGAGCAAAGCCTTTTCCTCTCATTATTTTCCTGACACCTTGCAGAGGTCCCGTGAAGCGCCGCGGGGTTTGGGGAGGAGGGTTTGACAGCCAGAGCCGGGGTTTTTAGCAGTTCCTGGGGGCTGGAGGTGGGCTGTCACAGCAGTCTGTGCCTTGCCAGATCCAGGATACAGCCCTTCAGCTCGGATTTTGCTCCTACAAAGATGCTGCTTGGCATCCAGGAGGTGTTGTGGGGGGTTGTGCCGCATTCCCCTGACCCCCTCACAGGATAATGTCTCTGCTGTTTAATCACCCACCGGATGGGCTCCGGGCACGGGCACGACTCATAAAATATGGATGGTTTTGAGCTGTTAATGCCAGCCAGCCTCTGACATGAGTGAGGAAGGGGGGGGGACGAGTCAGTGGCTCCAAGCAGAGCACCCCAGGGTGGGCTCATCGCCCCCCCCGCCTCCCGCCCTCCGCCCTGGGCACCTTTCCAGCGGTGGGTGGCTTCACTCACAAGTCACACAGGGACAGAGACACAAAGGTTTTCCCTGTGTGACACCCATTTGGCATCGTTGCCATCCACGTGTGCATGGGACGCTGCTCATGCCAGTGCTGGGAAGGGTGCATCGCCCAGCAACGGCTTCTCTGGCTAATAAAAATCCTTATTGCTGGCTGAGACATTAGAGGAAGCTGCTTGTAAGAGCTGGCTTTGCCTTGCTAGCTCCCCAAAATAATTTCTCCGGGGTTTAGAGGCGCTGGAGCAGGAGCTGTCAGAGGAAGGACAGGCACAGGGGAACTGGTGGATGTCCCTGGCCGTTCCTGCTGGGACAGAGGACGAGCTGGTGAGCATCTCACCTCGGTCCTGGCTGGGCTGGAATCAGCAGGACTCCACCATGAGCTGCTTTGTCTTCGCACGTGTTTAATAAGGGTGTTTCATGGCTTGATCCTTACTCCCAGGACCATCCCAGTCAAGGCTGCCCTTGGGTTTTGCTCCCCTGGGGTGACCAGGGTGGTTGTGAGCACCCTCACCCCGTGTCACGAAGCCGGGCTGGCACAGACACACAACAACCATTTCCAGCCACTCTGGTGGCTTCTTTCTCTGTGGCTGAAATGGGAACCCCAACCATGACTGAAGGATGAGTCACATTTCCCAGAGCCAGCTGCAGA